AGAAACTCGACGCCGTTTTTGGAGTTCATTTGCGAATGGACATATCTCTTCTGCTTGGTCTCCACCATTTGCTCTTGAGCTGGCGCGGCCAACTGCGTCGTCGACGACTTCTCGTTCGCGACAGCAACAGTCACCAACACGTGAACTTCGCCTTCGTTCGGTAGAAACCTCGTTCCAAAGTGCATTGCGTTGTCGATGCGCGACAATGGATCCATCGTGTCGAAGCCTTTCAGGTCGTCGAGCGTCAAAGCTTTGGCGCCAGCGAGGTTCAACCACGCACCTTCCTTGAACGCAAGGTAGAGATCCAGGTCCTTAGAATCGCAGGTAATTGTGTTGGCGTTCTTCTCCTTGATCTTGTCGTTGAGCTTCGCCACAAGCTCCGCACCCTCGATGTCCACAATGAACGGGCACCCATCCCCAACAACAATGCAGGCCAAAGTCGGCATAGCGTAATTCAGAAATGGATTCAACATCCAGAAACCTGCATAACATCATGTCGTTGAATTCTGATTCCAGAAACCTGTAAGATTTAATTGTGGACCAGTACCCGTTGAATTCTGATTCCAGAAACCTGTAAAATTTAATTGTTGACCAATACTCCCCGGAGTAGTTATTACTGTAATAATTGTTCTTCTCAGAAAACACTGCATTTTGAGTATTTATATGCTTCCACCTCTTTCTAGGGGTTACTGTAAGTGGTTAGCGATAGCGAACCACTAGCGAGCGATACAGTTAACCCCGGAGATTTAGCATCGTATGTACTCACGGGGGATAGGACGGAGTCCCAGGTTACAGGGCTACGGGCGAAAAGGTGTATCCGGATGGGATAATTCCCTCGTTGAAACAGTATTTGGAGTGGAACTGTTTTAATGAGGGAATTATTCCCACCAAAATGCTTGGGTACAGGTACAGTACATGGGGAAATTGCGGTAGTATCCATCTGGCGATTTACCATGCACCCCTTGATCGTGTTTTCCCTTTGGTTTATTTCGGCGTTGGCAACTGCCGGTAAACTGTCGGCGGGGGATTCAAAGGACGACAAAAATGGCTGAGGGGTTGGCACCAACCCATCGTCCGCCCTGTCGCAGCCATTCCCGTAACGTTACTGCCAATCGTCCCTGTGTATCATCCGGTGGTTGTGGTGGGTCGTCCACTGCTAAAGAAGGGGTCAAGGTTGGTCCCGCCACGCCACAATCGAATGAAAACTAAAGGGGTATACTGGAGGGTGTAGTTTTACATTACTACCGCTATCTATTAGGGAGGTTTCGCAAGTCAATATATACCATCTCTCTACCCATGCAATTTTGAGGCTTGCAATTTCGAGGCTTGTTTGAACTTAAGGCTACAAATTGATCATGTTGATGACTTTGCAGTATATTGATACGGTAGCTACTGTACCGGGAAACTAGGTCACACACCTGGAACTATTCGCTATAAACGTTACGTGCCTTGGATAGAGAGCTCTGTGCAATCCCATGCACTTCCTTGCCTTACATAGCGCGAGGCATTGTCTTCCTCTTTGCAGGAATACAATTACTTGGAATCGCATGACAGGCTGTCAAATGTGTAACTGCCGCCATTGTCGGTTTCACTCTGCGCGCACATGGCCCGCGATGTCAAGTCCAAGCCTGGTTTGAGACATCTTCATATTCACAGACGGAATCTTACATGTCATTCATGCGTAGCTGTGTCACTGGTGCGACAGAAACTGTTCCGTGCCACCGCTGGTATGACCCTCCATGAACAAAGCCAACTGGCGTCGACACTAGAGACAACTGGGAACAACGTTCTCGAGGTACATACATTACACGGCCTAACCAAGCAATTGTGTGTTCACGGTTGTGTAGGCAATACAAAAGATGAAAAAGGCAACGAAGGCACAACAGAAACACACCAAACACACATCCGTCAAGGTACTGACTTGTCAAGCGCAGCACAATCTCCATAGTTATCGACTTTTGTGATAGTTTGAATGGCTGCACGACTTGGCTCATCTTCGAAAGCTTGAGGACGTACGTGGCTTTTCCGTTTCACCATAGCTTTGCATTGTGGGCCTACATAACCTTGGAGGGGATTGTGTGCCTGCGATAGACAGCCACCAAAGAGCTCGATGCACTTTTAATCAAGTACCTCAACGACGCTACAACCACATGTTCGTCAGGTGATTCGTATATCATTATCCCCCGATTAGAGAGTAGTTAGTAGTTCATCCTCGAATTGCTGCTGGCAGGCCAGTCCTGTGCACCAGCCCCGCACCACAACAATGACCCAACCACCCCCCACTCTGGTGCCGGCCTCGCCCCTGAATTGTATTCCGACCTGATGGACTCTTGGGCATACGTTTGTAGATGGCTTGGATGATTACGGTAGTGCGCTGCAGTCGTTTGTGGACCACATGCAGCACCATCGGCTCGACTGGATCAAGCAAATGCATGCCCACAGAGACACGGTACGTACGTCCGTAACGACTGTGCGTTGTCGTGACGTTGGCATGATATGATGATGGTCGAATTAGAGACACTCGATGCATCAACTGGTCGCTCGAGTGCATGCGGACAAGGCCGTTCAGGGCCCCACATGGATGGCGCGCGTCAAAGTACATTCCTCCATCCTTCCGTGCATGTATTTTAAGATCCTGACCAGTACATCTCTCTGATCCCGGACCTGAGTTTGACCCGAGTCGTCCGTATCTCGCTCACCTGATTCTGAGTCGAGTCGATTTGTATCTATTCTAATTCCGACCTGATGCCGAGTCGGACATGCAAGACCTTGTATTCACGGCTAGTATATCAACTCCTAGGCGGACCTGCAAAACGTGATGATCGACGCTATCGTGGGCCATCACGTGGTGTGGGAGCAATTGGCAACCGAAGCTAGCGCCACCATCCAAACATTAACAGCAACAACAGTCACCCTCCAACCATGTCTTCGCTCAATGGGGCACACCAATACTGGCAACCAAGATATGACCGGTACTGTCTGTACACATCAAAATGCTAAGAAACTTGTTCATCGCATACGATGTCCACGGTACATAGAGACCGACGACCATAAGTCCATTTTGGACAAGCTGGGGGGAGTGGAGTGCCCTGACGTGGCGTTGAAAGCGTCGTTGCAGGTCCAACTCGACGCGATCCACCAACGTCACAGCCACGTACGTTTGTCCAACAAGCTCCATACCGCATTGTTTGCATCGTTTGTTATGTAGGAGTTGCAGCAACTGCACCAGACGTTTCTCGCCCAATGTGGTGAGCCAAATGCGACCGTCGCAATGTCCAAGACTGGCGGGTGGTCTGACCACGACCACGACCGTTACATCAAACTGTTCAAGGACTGTGACCCCAAAGGCATCCGGAACGACCCGTTTTTGTCACGCGTGGCGGCTCAATTGACCAATCACAACGTCGATGCGATTCGACACCACGATACGTGGTACCGCTGCGTACGGCGCGTGGCTACACTAAAGCAGGATCGGTGAGCCAAGATATCGATTTCTACAATAGTACTAGTAGATGGAAAATATTAATATCGTATGCATGATGATGCTGTAGGTTGAATGAACATGCACGACGGATACAATCGTTCCTAGACGAAGCCAGCGCGGCGATGGCCGCGGCGACCGCGGCGGCCGTGTCCGCCACAGCAAAGGACGAGGAATGGGCCCAGCGGATGGCAGACCAAGCGTTGATGCATGCAAAAGTCGAGCGGTTCAAAGGTATATATATATGTATAAATGCGCGAAAGTACAGACGACACTGTTTATATACTTCGAAGTAAATTATTATTTATTATTTTTCTGAAAATTATACTGACAATGACTGGATCATATTTGTAAAGGTAAACGCGATGCCAAGGCAGACATGGCCGCACATCAAGCCGAGATTGCGCGGTTGGAAGCCGACGCGATTCAAGTGGCAGCCGATCGAAAACGGCTCAAAGAGCACGAGCTCAAAAAGAAACTGTTGCAGGACCACAGGTATAATCATATTTCAATCTCAGAGACCATTACTATGAATAGTATAGTATCGAATTTTTATTCAAAACTATATTATTTCAAAATTGCGTATAAACCTCGCGTATTATTAGGAGCTGGCAACGAGTCGACATGTTGGCCCAAGACGAAGCGACTGCATTGAAACGAGCTATTGAGGTGGAGGAACTCAAGGAGCGGGATGCTGTCAATGCTGAGCGTGTGGCTTTTCGAGTGGAAGAATACGAGGTAAAGCACTGAAAGATGCATGCACTAACTGTAATTGCTGATATTGGTGGCATATATTGGTGCTTATCACGAAATTGCAGCAAAAATGCGACGATGCCAAGCGCAGGGCTATCCAAAGAGCCGACGACGAGGCCGAGCGACTGCGGGTGTTGGAAGCCATCAAGCAGGAGACCCCATATGCGGAAAAGCTAAATCAGATCGAGGTATGCCACAAAACAATTAGCTTCGAACGAGACACTAACGAGAAGACAAACAGATGGACCCCGAGCGGACACGACAGCCCACGGTCGCGTTTACAGCCAACGTCGACGCTATCCAAGACGGCTTGGGAGTTCACGTATGGCTACTTGCATCAGGTGTCAGTAGCGTCATGAACGCTTGTAGGAGACCGGGTTATTTCCGTCGCATGGGTATGACACGGATAAGTTATTCAAAGACGCCCGGTTCAAGCTTGGCCTGGCGCTGCGGGTACGTGAGGAAACATGCATGTTCGTTCTGACAGCGGCAGGAGCTGATGGCTGCTCCTTGTCACAATGCAGGATGCTGGGCTTGGATCCACCGACTACGCGAGAAAGGCCATGTCAACTATCACGGTTCGGAACACAGGGGCGTATCGGCATACCCCGCAGGCGCCCACGCAGTTGTGGTGACACTCGTGGAAATAAGCAATAATGACATTTGATTGGCTGGAAAATCGACTTCAACGTGTTATATTTTATCCAATCACAGTTGAATATCCAGATCTACAGCTGACATTTCGAAATTTGCGCGCGACAACCCAATGCAAGGGGAGAGGAAAGGCCAAGAGAAGAAGATGAAACATGGACGCGAGAAGACACTACCGAAGAAGCCACCACTGAAGAAGAGGAAGGCCATGGCAACGGACATCAAGTCGAAGGCTGTCCAGCGGCGGAGTGACAAGCAGCCGGCCGGACGGCCTGTACCCCGCACGAAGAAGACCGAAGAGCGATCGGATCTGTGCAACAACGAGAATGCGTTCTATCTCAAGCTGCTGATGGTATCCCCGACGCGTACTCGTCCCCAACTGAAGACTCGGAAAGTCCCCGATCGCACCAACATGCGCGTTCCCAACAAAACCCGCAGTCGAAAGCATGTTGTGCTTGGAGATGAGTGCCGAGTGCTTTCCTATGACGACGACGACTCGGTGGAGATAGCCAGGGACCATGCGCCAATACATAACCGTGTGTAGTGCTTATTATCGACAGTTGGAAGTTATTCTTGCTGGTAGGTTCAGGTGGCAACCCTCCTCCCATTGCACCAACCATCCCCGGAGAAAAGCCATATGAAGGTACGCAGTCTCCTTGCGAGTCGTAGATGTTTGAGCTTCTCCATAGCAACGACATCAACTCTCAACAACTCTATGGACATGGGTACGGTGTCGGTATAATTCATGTTGGTCGCCATTACAATTTGAATGTAGACATATCGGACGATTCCATCGAGCTCTCCGTCGACGCATTGGAGGAATCGTGTGATTTCGGCGCTCCAGGTATGATGGTATCCTATTGCATTGAAGGAGGATGCTAAGGCAACACAGCTGCGTCTGTCCACAATTTCGACGATCCGTTCTTCGAATCCCTCGGCTTGATCGTCGTACCACCACCGGAAAGTACGTTTGTATCGAGCAGCATACGATGTTATAATCGGGATTTATGCCTTCTCGTAGGAAGCAACACCCCCAAAGCCAGTCCATGTCACAGCATTTCCAGCTTCTCAAGCCCAGAAGGACGACTAAGCCCCACGGCAATTCCATCGACACCACCGCTTCCCCTTCGACGGCTGTCGTTTGACCCCCCTAAACTCTCCGTCCCCGCCGCCAGTATCGACTACATCCACCACGTTCATCGCCAGAACAAGATACTTACAACCTCCAAGACAAAAGGGCGACCTCGCACTTCATCCTCTACGAAACAAAATCGGGCCCACACGATAGAGTCCTCGTCGACGAATGGACCAGGAACAGCAAAGAAACATAAAAAAAAGCGGCCATCCGTGAACAGTGATCGAAGAAAGAGGCAAAACAAGAGTCCTCTACTTCTACCACGCTATGCCACGAGTGCCCTCAACAAGCAATCCGTTACAAAGCATGTCGTCTTGGGCGATCCAGCATCGGCCGCCACTGGGTCGCGGCGGCTCTCTGGACGATCGTCGTCAAGACATGGTGTCCGAGTAAACCAAAATGCGCTCTGCAGTCTCCAACAACTATTTATGATCTAACCATGGAACACAACCGCCTGGACGTCACGAACAGCCGACGGCTATGGAATTGCCAAATTAACAACTACCATGTCATGGGCGTTTGTCGCATGCCCGTCGCTTCGTGTCGTTTAACGAGTGGTCGTGCGAGGACGTACAAACAAATCTTCCTTGGACTCTTCCATAAAGTCTTCTTGCTGCTGGCACACGCGCAGGATCTCCTTCTTGCTTGGTTCTTGGAGGTTGCCACCGATGAGGAGCTCGTCCAAGATGTAGTACGCTTTGTGGAAGTTGAAAATGATATCCAATTCACACACGTTGCCAAAGTATCGATCCAGCACTTCCACAAACAAGTGGATCACTTCGAGCGTGATGAGCTCGTTCTCTTCCTTCGAGATGCACGCGACGAAGTACAGGCTCGCGTACCTACAGACACGAGACATGTCTGTGATCTCATCGAAGTCTGACTTGGCTCCTTACCGCTTGTACACGATCTTCTGGTCCTTCCACTCAATGAAGTTGCATTGCTTCTGCGGGCGGCCGAGCACGAGCGTCGTCACTTCTCGGATGATGCGCGCCTTGTCTTTGAGCGGCACGGCAGAGTACCACTTGGACAGACGCGTCTTCCCTTGACGGGATACCAACAACATAAAGTCAATCTAGACATCGTCACGTCAACTTCGTCCAGCCGACGCATGCCACGAAGTCGGTCTGTATGTACCATGATCGCAAATCTCCCTTGGCTCCAACTGGCACCACGTCGGCAGGGTTGGCCTGAATATCAAATATTAGAGTGTACTATATTGCACAGGTACCTCCAGCAATTGATTTCGCACACACTCCTGACGTACAACGTATTATTAATAATAGTACTTCGAAGTGCAATTTACTACCTACTAGTACCAGCTACTAAGTAGTACATGGAGGCTACTACCTACCACATGGAGGCCACAAACTTAGCGCGGGGATGTTATTGAGCATAGCCCGATTGCTATGATAGTTCTCCCCCTGACTTTGGGAAGGATACCTATGTCACTTTGGACAACAAACCGTAGCAGCCAGCACCACACGTTTTACAATTGTCGACGTCAAAAGTACACATATGGCTTGGAATGCAACTCGCAATATTTGCATGTCACTAACGTAAAAAACCAGTTTAAGATAACATTGTTAACCAATTTAGGATAACTTTGTATTGCCCAATCACACCTCGTTATTTGTTCGAGTCAAAACCTCTGTCATATAATGCTGACCATTCCGTCACGTGAACGAAATGCAAAAACGGCGTAGAAGCCATTTATAATAGTCATTCAAGATTGGTTTGAAGTACCCTAGTCGACACGGGCCACATTGGGCTGGATCTGAGGTTTTGTCGAGTGTTAAACGCAGTGAACATTCTTCCACAACAGAAATATAACTCTATAAAACAATACCCTTGTATACATTATATGCAACCTGTTGTAACCGCTTACCCTAAATACAAAATTTCAATGCTCCAAGATATACATACTTTAAGATAAAATAAGGTTATCCTAAATTGGTTATCAAATCGTGAGTACAAATACTTAGAAAGTATCAAATTTACCTGTGATGTTCTTCGTCGAAACTGATAATTCGATTATGAAGTGAAAGCGGCGCGTCTTGTCTATTGGAATCACTACTAAAAACTCAAATATCGTAACGGACTCAAAAGTTATGTCCATTCTACTCCGACGCCTCCAAAAAAGTTATCTTAAATTGGTTTTTTACGTCGGTAAAAAGTCAAGTGGACGAGCCATGGCGGTGCAATATGCACTTCGACCTGGATGCCATCATTGTTAGTGTCACATCCCAAGGCATCTCGTTGAAGTTTCCACTTTTGAATTTCGTCAAGACCAATACTATCCCATGTCCTCGACCTTCAAGGCAGCCGCGGTGCTGGCTGTTATGGCTATGGCGTCCACAAACGAAATCCCCTACGACTTTGACGCCCCCGAGTCGATTTGCGGGACCGATCAAGCTCAATAGGCCCGCTGTTTACTGTTAGCCGACGCCCAGGCCGTCCAGTACTAACTTGCCCACGCCGTGGCTCGCATTCGCAACTCGGGCGGGATGGGGGGCGCACGGTGTGGATGCGGGGGGTCGGAAGGGAACATGGTCATACGCAACCATTGCACCCCGAACGCCACACACGCCAGCGAGACGACTGCGGGTATTCGGTTCCGAGTGTTCGACGACGACCCCAGAAACAACATACACGTGTGTGGGCACGTTATGTCGCCAAAAGCAGCATGTTGTTTACCCATGAAACATTGGACATTTTGTTGATCAAGTGAAACGTGAACCGAGGGGTCAACTTGACCAAGTACGGATATTTGCAATCGCGTTGGACGATCCATTTACATTTTCCGCCACGCCCTCGCCACGCCTACATTGCGTACCTGAACGACGATGGCGCCACCATCATCGACACATCCATGGCCCCTCGATGCGCAGAACACGACACGCCGGGGCAAACCATCGACACTGAAGGGAGAACTCTGGCTCCCCCGTCTTGAGCTCGCAAGACAACAAGGTCATGGGGCTACACAACTGCTGGGTAGCCACCGGTTGCAATTTGGGCAACAAGATGACCAAAGATCGTCGCGGTGTTGGAGGCCCAGAACCTGTTGCTAAAGAATGCTGTGGCCGCAGACCGATGCTAAACGGACGGGGTGCTTTAGTTAGAGATAGATTCGTGCATCAACGTGAACACTGGCTCACAGGTGATGCATGACACTTCATTTATTCAAATGTTGAGAACACTGCTACTCGTAAACCATTCCGTCACTCGCCTATTTGCGAACGAACGATTTCCCAAAGAAATGCAATTGCACGGCCCTCGCGTCCTTGTCGACGAACTGCACGACAAACGTCGCCCCGCGGGCTTCCAACGCCCACATGTACACACCATCGTTCCCCGTTGCAATCAACCGACGCGCGTACTCTCCATATTGAAGAACCAGGTCCCTGTCTTTGGCTTCATGGTCAATGTACACGGCAACGCCCCCGTAGAACACCGACTCGGTGCTATTATACGTCCCCACGAGCTGGCGCTTGGTCTTATCTGGAATGACCACCCCAGGCACATCCCACGGTTTGTTTTCAAAATAATGGGGGTCACACGGGAGCACGGGAGCGCGGTGGTCGATGGCGGCAATGGCGTTCGCAAACTCGTTTTCGAGGGTGGCGATGGGGATGTCCAAGTACACGCCTAGAATGTACGAGTGTACCAGCGGTATGACCATCTGCGCGCTGAAGAGGCCCCCTACCGCCGCTTCGGCATTCGACATCAGCACCACCCCTAACCCGTGCGAGGGGACGTACCCCGCCACGCCCAACACCCCAAAGAAATGCTCGCCATGCATGACGTCCCCCACAATGTCAAAGCCATAGCCGGCTGCAAGTGAATTGCCCGAGGGTGAGTACGACAGTCCCAGCCAGGGTCCCACGTTGGTCATAAGCGAGTTGAAGCTCTGCCCTGTGGTCATCTCGGCGAGTGTCTTGGGCGATTGAAAAAGCAACCCCCCACTGTCACCCGTTTGGTTTACTGCTTGCTTTGAACGATCGTGTTTGTGCCGAGGCAACAATGCGAGGGACAGCTTGGTCACGTCGTTGAGAGACGCGACCATGGATGACCCAGCCACATACGCTCCCTGTGGCCCCAACGACATCATGGTCGAATTGGCCAATGAAAACGGACCGATCACCGTGCCGTTGCAGAATAAGTGGCCCGACGTGAGCTGACTGGGGGGGGCATCTGCAGGGCGGCCCTTCGTATCGTCCATGTGCAAGGGGGTGGCCACAGCGTCCAATATATAGGCATGCCACGTTTGGTTGGTCACGGCTTCAACGACTTGGCCAAGGATGATCGAGTTCAACCAAGTCGGAGAGTACCCAGACCGAAAGTCATGCGTGGTGTGGAGATGCCGTAGCGCCTCAACCAAGGGGCGGCCAGTGGCGTGCACGGCGAAGGTCACCGCCATGGCGCCGTCCATCATGTTGATGACAGAGTTATGGGACAAGAGGTCGCCCACGGTCGTGTGGCTGGCAGCATATTCGTCCATGAGGGAGAACCACGGCAAGTACATGGAGATTGGATCGTTCCATTCAAGTTCATGGGATTCGGTCTACGTATGTGCGCCGTGAGATTCGTGAGTTGGTGTACCTACTAAAACTACTACTATAATAATAGTTGCGTATACCAGCTTGGCCACGGCCAACGCTAGAAGCGTGTGCGACAGCCCACCGATTGCGAATTGCGTTGATGGTAGCACTGGCAACGACGAATTGACCTAAGTAACCATTATTGTTCATCAGTCTGTCAGATTTCTAGTGACCATGTAAAATATCGTATATTTGAAGCACATAGAAATATGTACCGCTGTGGTTCCGAGGCCTTGTACGATCGCCGTTTTATGCTGGTACACGACGGAGATGCCCATGCCAGGAAAACCATTCGCCTGCATTTGCTTGCGAACAAACTCGATGACATGCGATGCTTTGTCGTCCAACGACATCATTGACGTGCGATTGTGGGAGTGTTTTGTCGTCTTCTTCGTCATGGGGACATGGGTGCTGGGAGAAGGTAGCGAAGGATGCATCCCTCCATGAAGATGCGATAGCAGCGGAAGCATGGGCTGCCACACCGCACTCCGCGCGTGGACAGAGTCCTCCCCGGCGAGGCCAGCCACCGCCGCCCACAGAAAAGTTGCCGCAAGTCCACACCATATTTTGACCATGTTACCTGAGCACCGCACGTTTGGAAATGACGCTTGCTGCCATTCACAACCGCTGCGTTCAACGAGTATCTGCCGTGCTGTACGTGAAGACAATCATTTTCAATGCCATCATTCCTCCACTGTACTGAAAGTGAGGGCCAATTTTGGAGTTACTGGTAACGCTATACGCTACTACGTAGTACGTAGTATTGATATATGTGTTGGGGAGTGCCGAGCGAGGTCATGGAGGTACAGTACCCGACGAGCTCGCAAATGTTGCATGCTAATACAGCATTCCAATTTCAAATCAAATCAATAATCCTACCGGTATAACTACAGTGTACTACTGTAGTACAGTACTACTAATAGTTTTAGTTAGTACAGTACCGTAGTAGTATACTACGTAGTATACTACGTTGTACGATTATTAATAATACGTACTACAAGTACAAAGTTGTTGTCAAACTCCTTCGTTAAACTGGAGGGTACAGTTTCTTTACTGATAATTAATATACCTCGGTGACATTGACGTAAATCTTGGTAGCAAAACAGTATCACTGTAATAATGAGGAAATTATTCGAGCCAAATTCGAATACAACTAAGGAGTAGTCCCGATCAATCATGCTCCGAGTAGAAAATGATTTTCGGCACATCATCGACGCATGCGTTTCTGTTTGGATACTCCGAGTTTGTTAAACTCGATCATCCTTGGCCAAAGATATAGAAACCGTGACCAACCACACGTGACATGCCTACAGTACATCTGGACGCCGTGACCGCCTCCTTGCATATGGACGGACGACTTAAAGGGGCGCCCGCAGACGCCCCCAGTCAGCTTACTTCGGATGCAATGGCATCCATTTTCATTGGCCAACTCAAGGATGATGTCGTTGGGGCCACAGGGAGCGTATGTGGCTGGGTCATCCATGGTTGCGTCTCTCAACGACGTGACTAAGCTGTCCCTCGCATTGTTGCCTCGGCACAAACACGATCGTTCAAAGCAAGCAGTAAACCAAACGGGTGACAGTGGGGGGTTGCTTTTTCAATCGCCCAAGACACTCGCCGAGATGACCACAGGGCAGAGCTTCAACTCGCTTATGACCAACGTGGGACCCTGGCTGGGACTGTCGTACTCACCCTCGGGCAATTCACTTGCAGCCGGCTATGGCTTTGACATTGTGGGGGACGTCATGCATGGCGAGCATTTCTTTGGGGTGTTGGGCGTGGCGGGGTACGTCCCCTCGCACGGGTTAGGGGTGGTGCTGATGTCGAATGCCGAAGCGGCGGTAGGGGGCCTCTTCAGCGCGCAGATGGTCATACCGCTGGTACACTCGTACATTCTAGGCGTGTACTTGGACATCCCCATCGCCACCCTCGAAAACGAGTTTGCGAACGCCATTGCCGCCATCGACCACCGCGCTCCCGTGCTCCCGTGTGACCCCCATTACTTCGAAAACAAACCGTGGGATGTGCCTGGGGTGGTCATTCCAGATAAGACCAAGCGCCAGCTCGTGGGGACGTATAATAGCACCGAGTCGGTGTTCTACGGGGGCGTTGCCGTGTACATTGACCATGAAGCCAAAGACAGGGACCTGGTTCTTCAATATGGAGAGTACGCGCGTCGGTTGATTGCAACGGGGAACGATGGTGTGTACATGTGGGCGTTGGAAGCCCGCGGGATGACGTTTGTCGTGCAGTTCGTCGACAAGGACGCGAGCGCCGTGCAATTGCATTTCTTTGGGAAATCGTTTTTTCGCCGTCCGGTTGTCTATGAAATCGTTGATTGCGTCGATCAAGTATTGATGGCAATGATAGTTAAAACCTTCAAGTAGTGCGTAGCTTTACGCAAGATGATGCTACTAGTAGTACGCAGTAGTCAAAACTCCAAGGGGACCGCTAATATTGCGTATCAACCTGTCCTGTAACAACGTTACCCCACGCCTCTTGTTCACGTAAACCAAATCCACGAAGGCATAGCACTCCCCGTCTACCTTTTGTCTTGCCTAATTAATAGTGTCATTTCCAAATTCTCCTCGCCTCCGACAGCCCACAAACCTGGGTTACGCCGTGCCGGCCTTGATGTTTTTCCACATTCCCATCCCAGAGTACAACCAAGGACCGGTGCTGCAAGGTGAACGGAACGGGTGAACGGAACGGGTGAACGGAACGAAGGGCCGGTGTCGTCTAGCCAAAGTGACATCTTCGACACTATGATCAAAAGTATAAGATCATATGTGTCCAAGCAATGAGAATGACCGTGATATGTAGTGGGGGATGTGAAGGCTTCATTTTGGGGCCACAACCACTTGGATGCCTTTTACCAAGAAGAACGCGATTCAGCATGTGCATCAGCGGAAGTTCTGGCTACGGCTGGCTGAGCGTATGGCAAGTCGACGTTTAGCCGCACGACCCGCGTCGTTAAATGGACGAAAAAAACTCTACATACGAAAGCATCCACCAGTGACACTAGTACTTTATCAGTTGACCACTGTTTCGGAAAAGTGTGCCGTGTACCAAGCAGAGAATTCACTAACGTTGCAGTAATAATATATCAGGAATTCTCGTAATTTTGTTCCTTGGGCTGCCGTACGCAAACTTGCAGGGTAACGTTACGTTTGCAACAACTTGAAATGATAGGGGGGTATGAAGGTAGTTAGTTATACATGTATTGGGGAAACAGTATAGTTAGCACATTGTCGTAGTATCAACATGGGCCTGCCTGCGTTGGTGTTGATGGTGCGTCGAATGTACGTGCGGCCGAGATTGACAGAGTGCATGGACCAAAACAGAACGGACGAATTGGTGTTGTAAATAGCCTGGCTCATTCGTAGCCATGCATACCGTTGCAGGTTTAACACCACTGGCTTGTCCACGTTGACGGTGTCAAACCAGTGCTGGTAGTCGAAGTAGTAGTTTTGAGGGGCACACGTTTTCCACTTGGGGTCGGCGTTCACAATGTCCCACACCAATTGGCCCGATGCCCAGTGCATGACATGGTCCGGCTGCTCGCTTTGGGGGTCTTGGGCGTTAAATGTCACTGTCTTGATCCCACTGGCTTCGGCAGTAAAAATAGCTGCCAGCACGTCTTTGAACGCATCTCGGTTGGCGTAGGGTTTCCACGGATCGTCCATGGGTGCAATGGGGCGCTGGTTGTTGACTAGCGCCATGAACCCCGACTGTCCATCCGGCCCCAGTTCTGGGATGCGCAAAAAGTAGTGCACGACGTTGCCCACTGTGACCTTGGCGAGCTTTCGATTGAGAATGGTCACGGTTTCTGTCTTGGGGTTGGAATTGAACTTGCCGAGGTTGTCCACCCACGCCGTAGACGCCGCCAGCGTCCCCCGCTCCCTCGCAATCCGCCACGTGTTGAGCGCGTCCTTGTCATCCCCCGCCGTCGTGTACACAAACACGACTTTGGTCGCGGCGTCGGCAATGCTGTAGTGGTACGCGTTGGACATGAACAGTTCATGGTCGTCCTGGTGGGCCGTTGTGTAAATGTGCACTTTGGTCGGACTTGAAAACACCGGCAAGTTTGGCTTCACCGTGGCCACAAACGCACTCGTGAGCCATCCGGCGATGGTACTCGGTGTGCGCGCCACGAGCGGACCAAACAACATGCACGTGGTGGAGGAGGATCGAGTCGCCGCGGCGCAGACGAGGGGGGTCAAGGAGGCTTGGCAGGCCGCCACGCACGCTCTGTCGTCGCTTCCCGAAACGGAAGGCGACAAGACAAAGTCGACGGGGATGGTTTTCGCTACCGAAACGACTGCCGCCGTACTCGCCAGCGCTGCGCCTCGACGCAGCAGCGTCTTTGTCGTGCCGGGAAACTGGTGCCCCAAACAAATGCCCGAATCCGACATGTACGTGAAGAATGCCTCGCCGTGGGACCCCACCAAGGCCACACATTCCCCCAACGACGTCACAGACGTGAACGGCATGACGTTGTTGAAGCCGTCTTGCATAGTGAGCGTCACTCGCTCGGGCATTGCGCCGTGCTCGTGGCGAGCGATGGTTGCATTCAGAGTCGCCAAAAAGGATGTCATGGCAAGGGGTGTTGTGGGGAACCACTGGGCCCCCGCCACGTACGAGTAGGAAATCGGGGTCACACGGCTGTCGGGGGACGTGGAAGCATCGACGACGACGGCCACTGTCGTCCATGCCCCGTTGTTGCTGCTCGACGCAGGTTGATTTCGAAACGCGGCAAAGGCGTTCCAGGCCGGATCGAGGTTGTCGAAGCGGGGACCGGGCTTGGATTTGATGCAGCAGCCAAATTGGGACACGACGTACAGCTGGCATTGGCTGTTGGACGCGCACTTGGCACAACACTCGTCGGGGGTGAAGATCGTGCGGATGCATTCCAAATCGTTGCCGTCGTAGTCGACGTTTTGCTCAGCGGGGGCACATTGCGACGGCTGGACGACGCCAGCACTGATGCCGCCTTTGGGAATGCGAACCAACGGGCCATACTTGAGGTAGCACACCCCGCCAGCAAATGCAAACCCAGTGCAACTGGGATTGGCGTCGCAAATGGGACAACACGCTTCAGCGGAGTTTGCTAGTGCCGTCGCCAAGTCGTTGCCTTTGAAATCAGTGTTGCTTTGAATCACCCCACACTCAGCAGAGGTCGGGTGTGCCAAGAGGGCAATCGCAGAGATGCCGGCTGAAACAAAAAATTTCACGCGCATTGTATGTGATGGGGGTCGGCAGTGAAATGCACAATGAGCAAGCTGAAGTTGGGAGGTATGGTATGTGGGGAGTGCGATTGGCGGTTGGAATTGCATGAAACCGCCGAGATTACCATAAGTGCTGGTGCTGCCAGCCCATAAACATGACTAAATATATCTGCTTCAAATAATTATATCAAGCGACTCGACAGTGTAGTAACCAAGGGAAGGGGGCTCGACTTGCTACGAGGGTAGTGGCAGGGGCCCACGATCGATCGATGGAACCCTTGTTCCTTCGCTCCGCGTCTGTTCTAGCCGTGAAAATAGGGGACAAATCCGTTGGCGTTTCCAGACAATAGTTATTTTGAACGGGTGCTGATTCCTTTGACGTTGATGCTCGTATAAGATTGGCAGTTTCACAAGTTGGCACCGATATCTCGCCAGGTCTCCTGGCAAGTGTATGCAGATCTGTTGCATACGTATGCTTCTTGTCCAACTTGCTGTATTGCATATCGAAGTTTTTTACTCCAACGCATGTTCTCCATAGCAACACTTTGGAAGTGGCGTGGTTGCCCGCATCATAGTTAGGGGCGTTCGTTTTCGGGTATTTGGTTCTTACTGGGTGTGCGAGCGAGATGTACCCACAGCCAACTTGTCGTTACCGAGATTTGAAAATCTTTGCCCAGGTGCCGACCACCCTATAGATCTCCCACACGTTTATCGCGTAGATGTAATCGTTCGTGGTGTGCTTGTTCTGATGTCTCGTCTCGAAGTTGGTCCCTAGCAAATACACTGAGCAAATTGTTCAATTTCTGTACACGCAACGCGCGTTAGGTATATACGTATTGGGCTGGACGTGTACGAAGGCCCCTGTTGTAAGTTCAAGTCATTTTCCTGCATATCTGACCAGTTCATGACCAGGTGCAGTGTAGTACACATATAGTAGTCAGTTACCTATGCGCAACCTCAACACGTACGAATTCTCGGAACTTACGTTTGTCGCAGAAGAGATTGTGCCCCCAAGCCAGATTCCAGATCAAATATCCTTGTGATGGATTGATTACTAACTCGTTGACTCCAGTTGACGTTACCAGTTCGTAAAACGATGAAACAAAGGTTTGATTGCACATGTGATGGGATGCAACGGAGTTCGTCGTAAGGATATGCTACTACGACCAATGCTCGTGCGTTAAGGCAAACCCGCACGTAATAACCATCTTATGTAAGACGACCGTTAAGCTTTACACAGAGGGACTTAACATCGTGAAGTTAGCGGCGCAAACGTCTCGACGACGAAGGCAGTATAATTTGGGACAAGGTTGAATGGTCAGTTGATGTAGTGTGGCTAGTATAATTGTGAGCGCGTGAAATGCTTGGGCTTTCCCCTTTGATTAGAATTGTTATTAACGTTATACTCACATAATTGTTTGTGGCATCAAATCCACCAAACAGTGCATCATTCGATCGTTTCACATTGGTCTTGTGTAGTTTAACTTGATTAAAGTTCAGACGGATATAGACTACATTCAAGCAATCCCCTCGAGACAACAAGCCTTTTCAATACAACTCCGCGTGAAAAAATCCTTCTGCCCCCCCCCCCCGTTTCAACTTATTCGTTTGAACCATCCAGCCCTTCTTGCTTTAGGAGATGGGGGACTATCTGGGGGCATATAAATATACTCGTCGAGAATAACTAATGGTGTGTATTGGGGTCGTTTCGTCACCTACATACCTCCATGAACAAGGGAAAGCTACATATTTAATTGCAATACATTCCCACGCCGACAAACGCGATGTTATAGCCGCAGGGAATCGGACTATGATATAAAACTGGGGGGTATTTGCGTTTTTCGTCCTGTATTGCAGAATCGTCGAACAAAGTGGACATCGAAAGGAACGATGCTCCTTGGTGCCGTACGGAATTGTCCATCACATTACAAGAAGGGGCGGGGGTACTTTAGTGGCAAGGTCAAGAATCGGTTTCGGGCGGTTTCACCCTTGGAGTAATCTATCGTTTGCTACTTGACAGGGTGTTCCATCGGCCATGAAGATGTTTCTAGCCACCATCATCGCATGCGTGGCGATGACGTCTGCGGCCGACGACGGCTTCGATTGGCGCCAAAGCTTGAAGGAGCAGCTCGAAAGACTCAAGGAACATCAACTTCAAAACCAACCGAAGGATGCGCTATAGTTGCATACAAGCAAATGCCATCAAGTCCATAACGAAATCATAAGCATTGGAGAGACTCTTCGTTTTCACAAGTAACAATTGCAGAGGTTACAACCTGCGTTGGTAGTGCCAATGTATCGACCACCGCGCTACACTGCTAGTTCTAGCACTCATTTCCCAAGAGTCGACGATGATTATGCAAGCCACAACTCAGAGCATTTGAACAGTCACCGGTTGAAGCGATAGTTTGCTTTTGGGTTTTGCGAGCCTAGTATTACTATCCTAGCGAGTTTGTAAGGTGCAACCAAGGCTGTAAGCTTACTTGACACTTGACAGCATGAACACCAGCTGGATTGTTCACTTTAACTGCTTGCATTTACCGGTGTTAGACAAGGTGAAACACACGTTGGGTGACCAACGCTGTAACTGCAAAATGTGAAACCGTCGTCTGAACCATGTGACGCGGTACTTCCGATGTCCATGTTCTGGGACTCGGTCGGATCTTTCGATTCAGGCGAACACATTCCAAGTGTCCTAGCCGTGAGGAAGCGATGGACTTGGCCTGGCTGGATGACGTACTGCCTACGCCGACCAGCTACGACTGCCCTATCATGGGCGACATGCTCGGCTATTGCGACGGCATTGAGCTCTTCGACAGTGGCGATACCTTTCTGTCCGAGTTGTCGATGAATATGGACACGCCAGTCAACCCCTCACTGCCGCCAGCCCATGCCATTGCCATCCCCCTGAACCCCCCTCCATTCCACATCGCGTTCGATGCCCCCATTCCGGCACTCTATTCGATTCAGTCCGCCATAGAAATCGACCTCACCGACGAAGAAATGCGTTTCTTTCGAGACCTGCACATGCCCCCACCCGTTCCCCCATCGGCATTTCAATCTAGAAGTGCGTTGAAAAAGGTGTGTTCGGTCGACAAGTGCAGAAGACTCGCGCGGACCAAAGGCGTTTGCTCCAGGCACGGAGCACAGAAGAACGCCTGTCGAACAGCACCATCTTCGGGGGGACTCTGTATGAATAGCCACACAGCCATGGTCGGCCCAGTGCAACCGTATGCAACACACCAGGGGGACCGGTGCAGCGCTGTGGGGTGTACAAAAGGTGTTGTTTCCAATGGATCTTGTCGCAAGCATGGCGGCCTCTGTCGAGCGTGATATAGTCTCGTTGAAGATGCCACATACAACACGAAATAACCTGCGATACGGTTGTGACTTATACTAAACGAAACCCCCTCGTTTGAGTACCAGTGGGTCAGTATTTGTCAGAGGTCGCGGTCGTCTGTTATGATCGGGTAAAGCAGCATTGGCTGCGCTGTAGCCTCGTCCATATCGTCGCTGTTATCAAACTGGATAATTCCTTAAAGTGAACAATTTGTTTTGCAAGGGTAAACCTTGAATTTCGATGCAGAATGTTTGTCAGAAACGAGAACTAAAAATAGACCGAATCATGCATGCGACGGCGTCATGGCGAACTTCTGCAACCCGCCGCCACAGCCACTTTCAAACGTGCATCCATCCAGACACTT